CTATCTATCTATCTATCTATCTATCTATCTATCTAGATAGATAGATAGATAGATAGATAGATAGATAGGTAGAATACTAAAACTACTAACATTAATGAATAGAGGGACAACAAACAGTTCTGTGCACAAGGAAGCTGTTCTGCTCCTGGTTCTGGTTCTGACCCAATAAAGCTTTACGACTAAAATCCTCTGTTTTTTGAATGGAGTCTGGTGACGGCTCTTCATGCCAGCTCATCTCTGGTCTCATACCGAACCTGAACCCAAACGGCCGACACCAGCACCACGTTTGTGCATCCGGGAAGATGTTAACCCCACACTACGTGGACTCACGTCTGTCAGAGAGGTCCGGTGACCCGGTTCGGGTCCAAAACAAGCGCAAGACAGAACGTGTCCGATATTGGAAGTNGCGGGGGTAAATAAGTCATTTACATCAAATGGGATAAAACAACTTTAAATAGAGTAGAGCTCAGATTAGAGCTTCTAAAACTTACAATGCAGCGTTACACCTGATACCAACCAGTTCAACTCTGACTCACACCATCGTGTGACTGAAACATCTTTTTAACAGGCCCTTCAACTGTTTGTCAGGTGTGTAGTCACCCATGTGTTTACACCTAAAGTTGTGCTCAAAGCTTTACAAACCCTGGCAGAATTTGTAATTTTTTGGGCATGTTTCAGAGAATATGATGAATAATTTAAAAATTATTTTTCTTTCACTCGCTATTAGGTTAGGTGAAGCCACTCATTATCAAACAGTTGTGTTTGTCTTTTTTTACACCATGATGACAGAAAATACCCAAAGTGACCCTGACAATAAATAATTACATGGCTGTTTTGGCGTGATACAAACAGGTGGACACACACAGGCTGTTAAAAGGAAACCATCCTCACCTGTGGTCTGTTTGCTTGTAATTAGTGTGTGAAAAAAGTTAGTGAGTTTCTAAACTCCTGGGCCCAGTTCCAGAAAGCAGGTTTCACAAGCCTTGGTTCAGATCCTCTGAATGAACCTAACCTGCTCTGTGACACTCAGAGTTTTCAGTCTCTGAACAGGTGCTTTCAACTGGGTAACTCAATTCTGAGTCAAGTTACCTCTGAGTTGAGTTGGAGCGTGAGTATGGCAGATAATGTGAATCTCCATGGCAACGGGAGAAAATAACAAGACTCAAAGTCTATATCTCTGCTGAAACTAGAAAAATTAATGATGGCATATGGAGAATATCAACACACACACACACACACACACACACA